TAAGGCCAAGCAGGACCTGCGCACTTAAGAGGTGTGTTACATTTGTGAGGTGCATTTAGGAGGATCTGACTGTACAATTATTTTATTGCCAAGTACAAAATTAATTTAGATATTTAGCGATGCTAAACAACTGGTTCCAAACATGAAAATAATTACAAATTTGTTACACATGATTGTAAACTAATCAATTGTGAATATTATTAAATCGTCAATTAAATTGTAAAAAAAGTTGTGGTATCATGAAAATTCAAGAATATGTCAATAAGTTATAAGGCAAATTGAAGGTATTCATTTGTGATATATACTCACATTTCATAGGAAGTTAAGCTGCTCAAGCTTTTTTTAAAAAACGGATTATAAAATGTATAAAAAAAAATGTTTATCAATTGTGTAATAATCGGATGATTATTTCATTATTTGGGATGGTCCCACCTGTTCTGGTTGAATTTAAATCAAATCTTTGAAATTATTTAATCAAATTTTAATTAATTTGATTAAATAATTTCAAATATTTGATTCAAATTCAAAATTTAATTTGACTTTACGAAGCACTAAGTTCTGGTTAGTTTCAGCAAATGTTTCACGAATAAGATTATTTATAAGATGTTGAATAAATAGCTTATTTTTGCTTAAATGTGAAAATTAAAATTGTGAAATCTAATTATAGAAGACTTTGTTAATTTTAATTCATATTGATCTGACAAACTCTTTTAAGCAAATTTATAAAAATTCTTTTTAGGTAAATAGTATAATATGGATATTGGTGATGCTATCGAATACTTATCAGCGGCAGCTTCTGCTGCTGAAGAGAATATACGTTACCTTCGGGAAGCGATAGTTGAAATAAACTCTACTAAAGACCCTTATGAGCTTGCAACAATGGATGAACAATCTCTGGAAGAATTTTTCATTACTGGCATCGAGAGAAATTTAAGAGCCCTTGATTCAAAAGATGCTGCCGTGCGTGCCAGTACTACCGCTTTTTTTAATGCCTTAGAACAAACACGCTTTGAAGACACAAATTTCACCACGAGATATGAGTGTGCTTTAAGCGCCGGACGGAATGCATTCATAAAAACACGGGAAAAGGAGGCAAGACGAATATTCATTTTGTATGCTGCTTACAGTTCTATGGGCTATGGGGAAACTGATGCAGATCTTGAATATAACGCAAGAAAAGTTGCCTTTATGGACGACTTTCAAGAGCTTTCAGCCCAGAAAGCGGCAGAGATGGCACGTTCACATCGTTGTTTTCTTTATGCCTGTTATGAGTGTGATCTACCATTTACAGATCCGACCTATGAATGGTGTCAACCATGTAATTCAAAACATCTTAAGGATGATTTTGAGAAATGGACTAGTGGTAATTCTAACATTGACAAATTTCTTCAAGAAGCGCAACTTTCAGCAAATAGCCTAAGAAAGGTAATGGTGTGGATCCCATATCATAGGTTGACAGATATAGAATATATTACTGAAGGTGGATATGGAACTGTTTATTCGGCTATATGGTTGGATGGGCCAATATCCAGATGGCACAATGATTCGTGGATGTATTTTGGAAAGCTGAAAGTTGGCTTGAAAATCTTAGATCGTTCATCTGATTTATCAATTAACTTTTTAAATGAATTTAAATCGTATCTTCAAGTTTATGACAGCACTTATTTTATTCGATGTCTAGGAATTTCTCAAGAACCACACACGTATAATTATATAATGGTAATGGAATTTGCATCATTAGGATGTCTTCGAACATATTTGAAATCTAACTTTAATTCCATAACATGGGAGGATAAGTTAAAAGCTTTACTTGATATCAGTAAGGGACTTGACTGCTTACATAAGAGTAATTTGGTTCATCAAGATTTTCATCCAGGAAATCTCTTGTTTGTTGACAACTTTGGCGATAAATTTTTATCAATTTCAGATCTTGGATTATGTAAACCATTAAACCAAAATTCAGAATCAGCTGAGCTTTACGGAGTTTTACGTTATATAGATCCTGAAGTCTTGTGTGGAAAACGCTACACTAAAGCATCTGATATATACTCATTTGGCATGGTTGCATATGAAATAGTAACAGGTTGTCTGCCATATTATAATATTACAGATGATGATGATCTTAGTTTTAAAATTATTATTCAAGGTTTACGTCCGAACATTCCCTCTTACATACCAAAGCTGATTACTAGAATGATTATGAAATGCTGGGATGCTCTGCCAGATAAAAGGCCAACCTCTGATGAATTATATCATAGTATAAAAGACTGGTATAATGATATCAAAAAAAATAACCAGTCTGAATTTATGGCACAAATTATAAAATTTACAAAAGAATTTAACGATACATCCGCACAACTAAATTATCAAGAACATACTAGAGCATTTTATATTAGCAAACCTTACAGTATTTCCGATTCTTTATTGCCAATGAATGCACCGGATTTTGAAGAGAAGCTTAATGAATTTTTAACTTCTGAAAAAGCCTTTGATGATTCCGAAAAGCATGATATAAAATTATCAATTTCCGAAGGGATCATTGATATAACTATTTGACTTGATAAATAGGGGTTTTTTTTAAAAAAAAATAAATCATAGAATTTCGTTACACTCTTATTCGAAGAATCCCCTAAACAAATATTGAAAAATAATAGATTATTAACCTGAAAATGATCTCATTGCTACTTTCATAATTAAGGACTGTAATAATTAAAGTCAGAATAATTTAATCTAAATTTAACGATAACGAGTTCATAAACATCAATTGTTCTTAACACATGTAAAGAAAAATATTTACCATCCTTATTAATTATTGTTGCGGCTAGGGATGGGAATCGATTATCGAAAATCTGTTATTTTAAAATCGATTTTAATAATCGATTTTGAAACTAAAAATCGATTAATCGGTATATTAATCGATTTTGTAATTAAAATCGATTTGGTAAAGTAATCGATTTTAAAAATAAAATCAATTTTTATTTAATAATTAATACAATTCGGATATTATTTATTGGTAATATGTTTATTAAGTTTAATTTATAAAAATTTAAAAAAAATTAAACATTTAAGAATTAGAAAAAAAATTTAAAATTAAAAATCTAAAAAAAACCCAAATTCTTAAAATTAAATTATTATTTTATATATTATATTATATATTATATTATATATTATATTATGGGAATATTTTTATAGCACTATAGTTCCATAGCACTATCTTTATAATAAATAAATAATGTATAATCATGTGACACATATATTTATTAAATCAATATGATGCAACGTAGCATAACATTATTAATATCAGATATATTCGAGTCACTTCAATAAAAACAACCGATCGATGCTGGTCATTTAAAGCGATGCATAATCACGTGACATACGACCAATCAAATTGTAGAATTTTGATGATTGCAACGAAGCAAAAAAAGCAAAATAAAAAAATAGCATTCTAAGGATGGGTTAAATAAAAATGACAGGACGGCAATTTTGCTTATATATAACTACCTAAAACCCTTTCTAACCTTACTCTAAAATGATCATAACTCTAAAACTAATTTGATAAAATATATAAGAATCTACTTTGCTTTAGATGTCCTCTTTTTATACATGTTTTTTATACATATCTGGTATGTATATATGAAAATTCAATTTTGTGCAACAAAAATTAGCTAATGCCAATAATATCATGATCATGAGGCTGAACTATAGTTTAGTGTGTACTAATGCATGCAATTGTCACAATGTGATATCATCAGATTGGTAATATACTGTGGAATGAGTGCTTTAATAAATGCTTCTCAGAGTCTGTTTTTGTTTATTTTGCATCAAATAAATTCAAATAAGTGTAATTCAATTAAGTCTTTATTTCGATTTTATGGTGTAATCTGTAACTTGATATCATTCTATAATCCTTCTATAGTATTTGTATGTGTACCTATTTTAGGATTCACAAAATTTTCTAAATAGTTAACTGTTTTATATTTGAATTCTAGTTCATCGATATTCAGATAACCTTTTCAACATATTTATCTAAAATATCTTTGATTGTTTCTTCATCATGTTTTTGTACCTTTATCAAAAAGCATCATTTTTGTTCTATTTTTTCAATACCACCAATAATCCATACATTATCAATAACTCTGTCACAATGATATTTTTTTCTTTAAATTTGGATTCATTGATTTTAATAATGATTCCTTTACCACATATTTTGTTTTCATAATCTTTTAAAGTATCAATAATTAATTCTCGATAAAATTTATATAATCAGTTATTGTATTTGATGAATGGCCTATCATCTTTTAATTGAATAATAATTGCATTTAGATAGCCAAAAATAATCAATTATCATCATAAGATTGCATTTCATATATTCTTTTGAAAAGAAAAAATCTTTGAATATCAAAACTAACTTTTTGTATCTTTTATTTATACAAATAAATCTTTTATTATTTCTAAACAAGTTTGTTTTACATATTTTATATTCTGTAGATTTATACAAAATATTATTGTCGAATAAAAATTTAATACATTCATTTTCATCTATAAAAATCTTTATCATTGAAATAAAAGTTGGATATGACATTGTTACTAACTAAAAAATAAATTACAACTTTTTATATAAATACTAATTATATAACTAAATAAACATGAATTACAATTCTCTTTTTTCTCTTCTCATTATTTTTCTTTGTCTCTTTGACTTTGTAATGA